AATCGCAGTGCTGGGGAGTCTTAAATGAGTCAACCGCGCTATGGAAGAGATATGGATGGGCCGGCAGTAGGAGGGTCAGCACGGAGGGCCGGAGATGGTGTACAGGCTGGCGCATCCAGAAACAACAACTACGCATCGCCCATCCAGCCACAAGGCACAAGAGACCAAGGACCAAACATGTCACCGAACACATCGCCACGACGCCAGGCCGGCGCATCCAGCCCCAGTCAATCGCGGATTCCACGGCTTCAGGGACAAGCCTCGCAAGGCAGAGATGCCGGCGCTGCCGGGCTTATATCACGACCTACTCCGATCCCTCAATGGCCCTTGCCGGGTCCCATACCATCCCCGGTCACCTCGTCCGGTTCTGCGCCATACAAGCCTCCTCCGGGTCGATCGCAGCCTCCGCAGCGCCCTCCACGCCCAAGCCAAGTGCCCTCTATTCTCGACAGTTCCCGTGTGCAGGATCATACACCCGTCTTCCAGTACAATGCAAGGGATTCGACCCAAAGCCAGGACCTGTCGGGCTCCGTACCTCCCACGCCATCATCAAGGCAGACGCAATCGACGATCTCGTCTGTTGGTTCCATCCCTGACTTTCCCATGCCCGATTCTACAAGTCAAACCCCTGGACTCGCGCCGCCGAGGAGAAGTGTCGGGCTTGGCCCACCACCGTCGTCAAGGAGAGGAGATTCATCGTTCTATTCGAACGCCTCATTCGTCTCGCCGATCCCCGAAGAAAGCCCTCGCTCACGGTCCCATGGGTCCTATGCTTCAAGTGCTGCAATCCCCGAAAGCTGGGGCACAGAATCGCCAGAACCCAGCCCGGCCTATCAAGACAGATTCTTCGAAGATCCAATCACGGAAGAGGAGAGCTTCAGATCACAGGATGACGATGGTGATGAAAGCAAACTTGTGAGGAGCGCCAGCATCGGCAAACGAGGCAAGCCTGCCATTGTCATGAACCGCGGCGTCGGCGGAGAGTCATTCATGCCCGCAGAGCCGTCGCCGGCTGCGTTGCGACCTGCGCCAACTCCTGTGCAGGGGCCCGGATACCCGTTCCAGACGGGCACCGGTTTCCTCGACGTCTCATCGAGTTCTTCGGGTGCTCTGCCAACTGTCAAGGCGACGGCCAGCCCTCCTCCACTGACGGCAGATGCAATGCTGGGTGCCTTCGCCGCCGCCAGTGCAGCGGATCCCGCAGACATCAGAAGAGCCACGCCGTCGCCGCGACCCTTCAGTCGCCTGTCCGCCATTAGACGGCCGCCCAAGCTCGGCCTTGATATCGATTCGGTCCGGGAAATGGAGGCGCGAGGCAGCATGACTAGTCTACCTGACCTCATCAAGCGTGCAACACGACTCGCTGCGATGATGGACCGAGGGAATCGACCCGCGAGCCGATTCGACGATCATGGCAGTTGGCCTGACGAGAAGAGTATGGAGAAGGAGATGTCTGGTAAGTCGACCCGATCTCCACCCTCAGCCCTTGGCTGATTGCCGAATGAATGATTAGATGACCAACACCGATCCGGTTTCTCAGATATGCTGGCGGCATTCCCTCCGCCTGCAGCGACGCCAGCCCCTACTCGTCAGAGTCGCGGTAGCTGGTTCAGGAGATCAACTTCCTCTTGGCCGCTGGCCCCTGATCGGATCCAGACGCCGCCTCAGGCGCAACCTCGCGGTATGACGGAGATCATGTATGCGGACGGCGATAGCTCAGAGGACAAGAAGAAGCGCAGGCGTTGCTGTGGTCTTCCCCTGTGGGCCTTCATCCTTCTTTTGGTACTACTCCTCGGCATTGTAGCGGCGGCCATCGTTGTGCCACTGCACTTCTTCGTCTTCAACAACAAGGGTGGAAACAATGCTGCGCCGGAGCCGGCGCTGACGAGCTGCGAAGCCCAGCTTACCTGCGAAAACGGAGGCACCAATGTCGTCGCGCGAGACGTGTGCTCGTGCATATGTACCAACGGCTTTACGGGCTCGACTTGTGCTGTGGCTGGTGCAACAGGATGCACGACGACGAACCTCGTGCTCATGGCGGCTGAGGGCAACATCGGCAACGTGACGCTGGGCCAGGCCATCCCACGACTGATCCAGCAGGCGCAGAACAACTTTACGATCCCGTTGATGGGCACAACTATTCTTGCCAAATTCAACCAAGAGAGTCTCTCCTGCATCGCGCAGAACTCGCTCGTTACCTTTGATGGACGCTCAACCCGTACGGGCGGCGCCAACTCGGAAGTCGTCATTGATAACGACAACGGCATCGATAACAGTGGCGGTACAGACCAGCCAGCCGCATTCGAGCAGATTCCCTTCCTGACCATCGCCCCTCCGTACCGTGTCACGACTGTGGTGACAGGTACAGTAACAGTGACGACAACGATCACGGCGTTCCCACAGAATCCGCCGTCGACGATCACGCCGGCGCCGGTGACGCCGACGGCGCCCACGACAACATCAAGCATTCCCTCGCCGACGGCCACATTCATGGTGACGGAGGAAGTGCTCGATTTCGCCCGAGCCGTGGTCCTCTTTGTCCTTCAGGAGAGAGACCTCCAGGTGGCAACAGCTTCGCAGACATCGCTGCAACGGTTCTTTGCGCAGGCAAGCAGCGGCAGCCAAAACACCAGGGACGGCGTGACACAGCAAATGGCGGCGAGCTTGAGCCTCGCGGACGGAATCACGGTTGATCTCGTCCACTTCCTCGTGGACATTTCGTCGAGCGGAACCTCGGGAGGTTCGAAAAGGCGATGGGTGGCAGAGGAGGCCATTGGCCAGCTTGGTCTGGCGCATATACCGACGACCACGGCGAGTCGCGGATGAGATGTGCGAGGTTGCACCGAAGTCAGAATCCGGACTCTGTAGGCTATCCAACGACGGGTGGCACTGTATATAACTACGAGACGGAACCACCTAATGAGGTCACGAGCAGGTGCTGTCCTTGTCCCGCGGCGCGGATAGGACACAAGCGGAGGAACGCAAGGGATGGAGGGGGCACATGTGCAAGACTCTGCGATGGCTACTCAGTCATGTTGTATAAAAGTTGCGCCGTTTCTTCCTTAGCAGTCTTGTCTATTGCACGCTAGAAGGAGAGGAGGACCAGAGGAGGGTTAGCTGCGGGGGAGAATTAGCTCGTGAGCGAGTGGAGGGTTTATTGTTCCGCGAGAGGGGGCGAGAGTGAAAGGGCGCCTCTACGGGGGCTGCAGCCATGTTGTATGTAGGGTTTATACGAGTAGAATGGGACCGGACCAACAGCCTCACTGAAGGGCCAAGAAAAAAAAGGTCATGCACGAGCATGCTGTGGACCAGTGAGGAACTGTGACGTAGAACTGCGTTCTTTTCTCGGGGTCTTGTTGAGAGTGGCCATGAGAGCGAAGTGCGCATCAGGTGGGCTGGGATCTGGGATGCAGTGCACGAGGATGAGGCCAGCCAAGGTAGGGTGCGGCAGCGAACCAACTGCAGTGCACTTGCATACTCACTGCTGTAGCAAGAAGCTGGCCACAGGTAGGCAGACCAGGTAGATAGATACCTGTCCCTTGGTAGGTGCCTGGCAAGGTAGGGAGGTCAGGGGTGGTTTATCTTATCAGGTTAAGCTAGTGCATTAGCGCGTCTGAAGTTGGGATCCCCCGCCCCTGGACCCCTTCGGACCCCTTTCCCTCTTCGCCCCCCCCCCCTCTTTGATCTTCTAGCTATCCTTCAGGTTCAGCTCGCCTCTGATTCGGTCTCACGGTCAAGCACGTCTCTCAACGATCCATCCATTGGGAGTCTCATCCCTGGCTGCCATCGCATTTTCAGCCATGTTCGAAACACGAGCCTCCCCCGAGTGTGAGGGTTGGACGTGAGCATGCTACCTGCCGCCAACACTGCCTCCTCGAAGCTTACCTCCTGCATCTGGGAACACTGCCACGTCGATAGAAGTGAGCGCGCCCACAAGCAAGGGAAGGGGTTAGCAAACACAGCCAAGTCGACGGCGGACGTGGAGGCAGGGATGAGATGGTCGAGTGGAAAGTGGCCGCTACTCGCTCGACCTGAAAGTCGCCATGCCTCTTCCTAGCACCTCCTCACGTACACTACTAGTGAGGGAAATAGTCAGCCATGGGCGAGCACACACTACTCGCACACTACTTGCGACAGAGCAGCCAAGCGGCGAGGCTGTGCGAGCAGTGGTGTCGATATTGGGGGGGGGGGGGGGGGGCTGTTCAGGCAGAGAAGAGGCTTTGTTTGAGACAGGGGAGGCACCATGTCGGACCTGCGCAAGCGGAGGCTCGCGACGTCGATCATGTGGGGTCTTTGTCTTCTAACTTGGAGGAGAGACGAATGCGGGAAAAGGCTGTTTTGCGTTCTCGCACGTCTTTTCGGGGGAGGAAGCATGAGGAGGCTCAGCGTACCACTGGTTTGGCTGGGACTGGGACTGGAACTGGGACGGGGCCTCCTGGCGATCGATATCCCCACCCGCCATCGGACGACCGACCTGCTTCTTGTCTCCCTCTCCATTCAATCGACGCTGCCCCTCTTGATTCCCCTTCCCTTTCTTCATCCACATTCCAGTCCTATTCCTATTCTTACATCACTTCACCAAACCACGACGCGCCTGGAGCCATCACTTTCGTTTCTTCTGTTCGCCGCCGCGGTCGCTGTTCTTCTTTGGCCCAACCGCCGTTCGCTCGCTTTATCTTGTTCTGCTTCTTCTTCCTCGTCGTTTGCATCTATCCATCTGTTGGCCCCTGCCGTCCATTCCCTGCTCTTGACGAGCTCGTTTGATTTCACACCAATACAAGTGCTTTACGGTTCAACGCGAACACTACCACGCCAACGACGCGACTGGACACCCCGTGTTCCGGCTTGAGATACCACATTTTGACGGAGACGATCTCTGTACTTTCATTAGCTACACTCTCGCAAAGACATTCGAGAACAACACTGAAGACGAGCCATTACAACTCGCCACGACCCAAGAGCCGACTACACAGGCCAAATACCAACACATCACGCTCAGTATGGACTATACACGCCAAAACGACGATCCGTTTGTCGACATGCCGGCCATGCCCTCGCCAACCCGCCAGTCCGCCGTTCCAGCACCCTTAAAGATGGCCTACGTAAACAAGGCCTCATCCACGCCCTACGCCCATGGCTCTCCATCCTCCCCTGAGACGTCACCGCCGCCTCGCCTCGCCGTCCACACAGCACCAGCGAGCACGAATGGGACAGCCCCGCTCCTCGCTCTACAGCCACCATCCCCCCGCACGCCGCCCGCATCAGACCGCCCCTCGACGCCTCCAAAGCCCTTTGTCGAGCTCTGGACCCCGGACAGCCCCTCCGCCGCCCACCCAGGCCTGCCTCCGCCTCCGGCTCTGGCCTATGATCCACCTCTTACTCGCGCTCGTACACGCAGTAATGAGGACGCGGGCTCCGTCTACTCAGCGTCGCCCTTTGCCGATACCAACTCCCTCTACTCCTCCGACGGCGGGTACTCGCCGCCCCGAAAGCAGCAGGAGGCCAGCCGGTCGCGTCTCGCTCTGGTCCTCGGACCGGGCTCTGGAGCCGGTGCGTCGGCGAGGGGAGAGCACTACCGCGGCTCGCTCGAGACCGGGTCCCTGCACGAGGGCAAGGCCGTCGTTGCATCGGAGGACCTGGCAGCAAGGCGGTGGAGGGGACAGAAGATGAAGCTTGGGGCATGGGCGTGCGCCCTTGGCGTCGTGCTGGTCCTGCTTGTGACTCTCGGCGTCGGCGTCGGCATCGGCGTCATTCGCGGCACCGCGAAAGAGGAGTAGACCCATGAGGACTCCTGGTTACCTTTATGACATTTTTGTACCATTATGACACGGGCCGGGCTGGGTTCTCTGGACAAGGCTGGATGGGGGGTCGGGGTCTGACAGGCGCCAGTGGTCTACACAAATACTGGCCGGTATGGCGTTTCTGGGAATGTTGAAATTTGTTTATCCTCTTCCAAACTCGTGTCTGCGTCGGCGAATGCATGTTCACCCTCGTGAATTGCCTCGTACGTCTTGTAGTCGTCGTGAACGAGCTCTCAATACCTTTCATTACAAACTACCTCTCCATCCCTTTCATTACGAGTAAACTACTTGGGTCGGACAATCCCCCAACCCAGCGTCGAG